CCAGCAAGTTGGCCACCCTCTTTGGATGTTCCTCGATTCAAAGATGTTAGCATCAAGGAAATCCCGAATGATTTTGTTGGTCACTCTTCTGGAAATACAAGTTATGTTGAGCGTTGCAAGGTCCGCGACAGTTTGTTGCTGATGAAATTCTATTCCTTGTCATCTTCTGGGGTAATGAATGTCTTGCTTTCCGACCATGAGGGCAGAGAATTGGATCTCCCGTTTGAAGTTACTGACCAAGAAATGGAGACCATCCTTTACAATAGAAGTACATTTATTTTAGGACGGTCAGGCACTGGGAAGACGACAGTATTGACCATGAAGTTATATCAGAAAGAACAGAAGCACCATAGGGCAGCAGAAGAGGGATTCTACGGTGTTGGGAGCAATACATTCAGACATGTTAGTCCGAATAATGAGGCTGAGCAGATTTCTTCTTCTTCATCTACTAATGTGACTGCTTTGCGCCAGCTTTTTGTGACTGTCAGTCCTAAACTCTGTTTGTCTGTCAAGCAACATATTTCACGATTGAAAAGGTGAGCGGATTATTCGAATAATGATGTTTGCTACCTTTTTATTTCTTTAAAAATAGTTTTTATTTCTTCAGAAATCTATTTACTGTGACCCTTTAGTCAGAATTCACCATATATATGTTCTTGATTGACTTGCTAGTTGTTTGAATACTGGCATAGTACCTGGGGACATGTTCTTGAAATCGTAAATTTATGTGTAGAAATCTAATTGTTAATTTATTGGTTCAAGTTCTGGTACATATGATTAAGAATGAATTATATATATATATTCGTTTCAATTGTAAATGTCAACTTCATCAACTTTTTTACGTTCACAGTTTCGCTTGTGGTGGAAGCCCTTCAGGTCAATGCAGTTTGATTGATATGGATGATTTTGATGATGAGGAAGCACAATTCAGGGGTATCCCTGATTCTTTTCTTAATATTCCGCCCAAATGCTATCCTCTTTGCTTAACATTTCGTAAATTCTTGATGATGCTTGATGGAAGTTTGGGTAATTCTTACTTTGAAAGATTCCTTGACATCACTGAACTTCCTCAAAACAGACTGCAAAGTTCAAGATCAGTTTTGCTGCAGAACTTTCTAAGCACGAAGGAGGTCAATTATGAGAGATTTAGTTCATCATATTGGCCTCGTTTTAATATCCAGTTAACAAAGAAGCTTGATGCTTCAAGAGTCTTTACTGAGATTATTTCTCAAATAAAAGGTGGTCTGGGTGCTATGGAAGCATGTGATGGAAAACTCAGCCGGCAGGAGTATGCGCAAATGTCAGAGGGAAAGGCTTCCGACCTAGACAAAGAGAAGAGAGATATAATATATGATATATTTCAGGTTTATGAAAAAATGAAGAGAAGGAATGGTGAATTTGATATTGCTGATTTTGTGAATGATATTCACCGCCGTTTTAAACATGAAAAATATGAGGGTGATGATATTGATTTTGTGTACATTGATGAGGTTCAGGATCTTGCCATGAGCCAAATTGCACTGTTCAAATATATCTGCAGTAATGTTGAAGAGGGCTTTGTTTTTTCTGGTGATACAGCGCAAACCATTGCAAGGGGGATTCATTTTAGATTCCAAGATATACGACATCTGTTCTACAACAAGTTTGTATTGGATTCAAGAAGAAAGAAGCATAAAGAACAAATGGACAATGAGAAAATCTCAGAAATTTTTCATTTGACAGAAAACTTCCGAAGCCATGATGGTATACTGAAGCTATTGCAGAGCATTGTTGAACTACTTTATCATTTTTTTCCCCACTCAATTGATAAGTTGAAACCAGAAACAATTCCAGTATATGGGGAAGCTCCAATTTTAATTTACTCTGGAGAAAATGAAAATGTATTTGAAACAATTTTTGGAAATAGTGTATTTGTTACTGGGAACACAATTGGTTTCGGGGCAGAGCAGGTTATTTTGGTACGTGACGCTAGTGCATGGAAGGAAGTCTCCAACTCCATACGGAAGCAAGCACTTGTTCTTACTATAATGGACTGCAAGGGCCTAGAGTTTCAGGTCACTACAGTGTTTGTTTCTTTGATTTGTTTAATAATCTTACATAAGTTATTATCACTGAAAATTTTTCATTTAATATATTTTGATGTGTTTGATCCTCAGTTACTTCTGCCAGGTAAGCGTTCTTCTGTTGTTGTTTTTTTCATTCAAATTTTTTGTCTTGCTACATCTACCACCAGCTATATCTTCATATAAGACAGTGGTTGATATTTGAATTCTATAATAAATTTGCTGCAAATTTAATATTTTTATTCCAGTTGAAATTGTCATGTTTGAAATCAATGTTCGGTACATTCTTAGCATTTGCCCTTTTTACAGGATGTACTCTTGTACAAATTTTTTGGATCATCACCCCTGAAAAATCAATGGAGGGTGATATATGATTTCATGAAGGAACAAGATTCGCTCAATTCCGCATTACCTGAGCGTTTTCCAAGCTTTGATGATGCAAAACACAGCATGTTATGCCACGAATTAAAGCAGTTATATGTTGCAGTCTCTCGTACGAGACAGAGGTTGTGGATTTATGAGAATGTTGAAGAGCTCTCCAATCCCATGTTTGACTATTGGAAAAAGAAATGTCTTGTACAAGTTAGACAACTTGATGATTCATTTGCACATTCTATGCAAGTTGCAAGCAGTCCACAAGAGTGGAAAGCACGTGGAATTAAGGTTTGCTTAATCATGACAAGAGTAATAGCACTGTCAATTGATATTCTTATCATTGTTAGAATAATAATCATGATCATTATGATTATATAGTAACTTTTCTTACGATCATAATAACTATTGTCATGATCATCATCATAACCATTAGTTTCAATAATATTAATGTTTCCCCTTTTTATTTTGTTTCTTGCAGCTATATCAAGATCATAACTACAAAATGGCCAGAATGTGCTTTGAAAAAGCTGGTGATACATTCTGGAAAAGGCTTTCTGAAGCTGCTGAACTTAAAGCTAAGGCTCACCATATGCGCACTTCAAATCCTGAAATGGCTAATACCATGCTTCGGAGGGCTGCTTTAATATTCGAAGCTATCGGCCTGTCTGTTTCTGCTGCCAGATGCTTTTACAATTTGGGAGAGTATAAACGAGCCGGTATGATCTTAACATCTATTGTCTTTGTCTTGCCAGAATTCATGTTACAGTGAAAAGGCTATTGTGTTGTGTGACTTGTGACAGCTTTCAGGTTATCCTTTGTTGCACTTAAAATCTTAAAATTGTTGCTTTTATCACTTAAAACCTTTTGGTGGTGCAGGCTATATTTATTTGGATAAATGCAAAGAACCCGAATTGGAAAGAGCTGGGGAATGCTTTTCTCTAGCTGGATGCTATGCGCTTGCAGCAGATGCGTATGCAAGGGGGAACTATTTCTCTGAGTGTATTTCTATGTGTTCCAAAGGAAAACTATTTGACAGAGGTCTGGAATACATCAAAGATTGGAAACAACATGCAACGGCAGAGTATGGTAAACGAGGAAATGGGACTACTAAAACTGAATTGGATTTTCTAGAGATTTGTGCATTTCATTATTCTGTTGTGAAAGATGAGAGATCCAGGATGGAAACTGTCAGAGATGAAATGTTTTCAGCTCAGAAAACTTTGAATGGTCTTCTTTCTTCAAGCACCTCTAAGTTTTTGTGGGAAGACAAATTGATGGATAATCGTAAACAGCAGTCAGAAGGCAAAAAATATAAGACACAGGTTTCTGCTGATTCACTGCTGTACTTTTGGAATTCTTGGAAGGATAAAAGTATTTACTTGATTGAGTATCTAAGGAACTTCGAATCGATAGACGCCGATGAATACAGAAATTATGAAGACTTCTTTCTAAATTACTTAGGAGTATGGAGGCTGTTTCATGAAGATCTGAATCCGATTTATCTTTCAGTCATCTCTGATGTGGATTGGATTAGAGGTGTGGAGAAAAGAATTTTTCGAAGTAACGGGGAGTTAGTCTCAATTGATGTTCACAAGTATGTTTCAGCTGCTCAGAATTATTGGAGTTCTGAAATGCTATATCTTGGCATTAAGGTTTTGGGCAAACTTGAAGCTCTTTACAGGTTCCTAAGCACTCAATCTCATTCAAAATTCTTCAGAAGCAAGTCTCTTATCCAGATATATGAGGTTGTGACATATCTTCTTAACTCTAAATTTCTGAAGCGGAGCCTGATAGATCGTGACACACTGCAGAAATTTGTTAAGTTGTCGGGTGATAATTTTGTTTCCTACATATTTCCTTTAGATTGGAGGAAATCATCAAGAGAGAATATGATATCTCTTCGACGGTCTGATGCTTGTAAGAATTTACTGAAACAAGTGATAGTTGAATACATGAGCTCATCCAAAGATCTGTCTTCAGGGAAAGTTGGATACCTTGCTTCAATAATTCTTGCATCTGGTAAGCTGAATGATGAACTGTGTGCGACGCTTGTGAAAAATATTGAGTACAATCCACTATGGAAGGCGTTCATTGAAAATCTATGTGGCAACATCCAAGAACCAAGAGTGGAGTCTCTTTTGTCGACGTTTGGTGATGCGATGTTCAAAACTTATAACGAAAACTAGGAGTGCACGTTACTACATATCACCTAGTTGCTTCTTGTATCTTGTTGATCGCCTTCTGATTTGGGTATCTCTGTGTCAAGGTTATGTGATCACTGAAAGATCTTGCTTTATTGAATGGCTGATATACCATGAGAAAGATACCAGATTTAATTCCTGTAAAGTTTTTGATGTGCAAATGTCTTTTGAAGTCATCCGTCAGTTTTTGACTGATGTTATTCGGGAGTGTCTCTTTGATGAGGCGACCATGATTGAGTGGATTGGAAATTTTACCACATATTCGAACAAGTATTATTCGCTACTAATGCAAAGATTGGTTATGACATTGTGTTTGCTTTATTTGAATTTCGGGATAGGTTTTGACATACTCTTAGATCTGATGAATTGGGAATATGTCACTGAGAATCTACTACCAAGGGAGATCTCTGCTGCCCTTAGAAGAATTATTTCTGTACAGAAGTCTCTTGGTATAAATGTCAATGTGCTTCCACTCAAAGAAAATGTCAATGTGCTAGCTAAAGCATTTAAGAAGACCGGCAGTGCTTTGGTAATTGCAACTTCTGGGATTGATTGTTCAAGGTTCGTCTGTTCAGATGCCCTTTTTGTCGACATGAAGGGCAACCTGGGCATGGGTGATATATTGAGACATTTGTTTCCAGAACAATAGATGGTTGAAGCTTCACAAGGTCAAACTGGATCCATGGATGGCACACATTGTGACAGAAGTAACCTCCCAAAGGATTCTCATTGCTTCTTGGAAATATTTGAGGGTTTCGTAGAAAAATATTTGAAGGTTTAAAATTAGTAATTACCGTCTGTTTTAGTTTTCTATTTATAAAAATTATGGTTTCAGTACCTAATATGAGCAACTGTATTGAATTTTTCTTGTTTCTTGACATTAGTTTCAGTTGGATGTGGAGAAACTTATGACTGATGTATGGTCTACACTTTCTGAACTCTGTTGGTCGAGAAGAAAAAAAAATTTATATAGACAATTGCTGGGCATGCTTAATCAATTGATGAACTTAAATTTATGCTGCATTTGATGGGAGGTGGGTCTTATCTGTAACATACACTACATTATTTTTCTGTGTCCAACAGATTAGCTTTAGAATAGCTTTACTTACTCCTGATTAGACATCAGTGTTAGGCTACCTTTGTCCAAAAGCTTAAGCTGTGAAGGAATAGGCCAACAATCTCACGTGCCGGCACATCATGCACGTGGAGGGGCAGATAAACAGCGGTAGAGAGGCAAACATATATGCGCATCCCCACCGTGCGTGCACCCTGCAAACCAACAAAAAAGTGGGAAACGAGGATCGAACTCAAGACCACTTACAAAGAAGGATCTAAGACCATGTTAGCCAACAACATTAACTCCAAAGGCTTAACAAATGAGACAATAATGCATAGCAACTTATTACAATCATGGTGTATGATTGAGAATCTATACTTTACCAACTGTCTGAAATTTTTGCTGGTACTTGGCAACAAAGTTTCTACAATTAAAGAACTTTCCAGGAGGTTTCAATTGAGGATAAAGAGAATGCAGGACATCTTGGATAAGCTATTTTTGGAGCACTGCAAGACCAAACATTTTGGGAAAGCATTTGAGACTATAGTCAAACCTGGAAACAAAGCATATGACGCAGAAGATGGTGGTGGTAAAGCTGAGGAAAATAGCACATCCGGTGATGTCCAATTCAGTTTCTCCGGAAGCTGCTGATGCTCTGCTTCTCGAGTCAGAGTCCAAAGAAATCAGTTATAAGCCAAATAAACTTGCTCTTATTTGGGATTTGTCTGAGTTTTAAGTATGAATCAAACAGCTTATATTTGAGTAATGGTCTACCAAGTAAGCTTTTGTAAATGTATATAGTAGAAGGGAGAAGGATGAACCTTAAACTTTCACCCTGCTTCTTTTTTCAATATTTTTTATTTTATTTCACCCACTTATTATTTACAGTAACCACAAAAGTTGAGAAATTTTTTAATGATTTCCAACACTAATTTGCTAATGATTTTGTTTAGGGTTTAACAAATTTGAAATACTCTGATTTTCTCTTTTCCTCATTTCGTTAACCCAAGTAAAGAATTTCTCTGAGAGTGGTAGGTTAAGTCAGCAATTATTATTAGTTAGGTTAATGAAAAATGCAAAATCATGCCCAGCAAGTTCCATTCTCAATTTAGAAGAAAGCAACAAGTACAACATACAAGTAAAGAAAATTAGAACAGACTTAGATCCGAATGATCGGCACACATCGGCAGAGGTACCGCATGTGATATCCCAGGAAGGGGAGTCTGAGGGATGTGGGTGGGGGGGTTTGTTTTGTGGTTAATCTCCACATCTTACTTTCTTTTGAAAATCGATCCAATTTCCAAATTTTATTTTATTTATAAAATTGATATGAAACATATGTAAGCTTTGCTTAACCATTACAAATAGCAAATTAAAACAACTAATTTGAGTAGCTTGAGACCCTAATACTGCCTTGTGATCCAAGGCATCTTAAAACGGCAAATAGGGCAACTATGGTGACTCCCTTTCAGCCATCGTCCTATGCAGTTGCCATGAAACACATGCGAGCAAGGCATGGAAGCAACATCTTCTGATCCCACAACAAACTCTTCCATACAAATAGGGCAAACCTCACTTTCTTGCACTACACGTCTTCTTTTTCTTTTCCCACCCTCCTCCTCCTCCTCCTCCTCATCTTCATCAGCAGCCATCACTCTAACCCTCTTTAGGGTTTTCTTGATCAACGCTTCCATCTCAAGTTCTCTTTCTTTCGGAACCCTCTCGGAGTGAATCCAGTTATGCTCTTTTTTTATATGAGCACTGAATCGCAGTACTTTAGCCCCCTTGTTCGAATCCAAGTCGCGAATTTTGCAACCGAATTCTATAATCATTTCCACCAATTGATCCTGCGGGTCCTCGTCGACTCCAAGCAAGGACAAATTCTCTGAAAGAAAACGCTTGACGTCGTTTCGGGTTTCTAAACCGCACACATCTTCTATCGTGGCTTTTGCTATTGTCACTTGAGGATCATATTGGTGTATAAGGATTAGGCCGGTTATGGTTCCGTCTTCGGATAGATCGCCGTCGAAAACCTTGTGGTTTATGGAGTATTTGAAATCAATCTCAATTGGAACGCTGGGTGAAGATTGCTCGTGACGATCAGGGTGGTCTAATTGTGTGCCACGCAACTCCGCCAAATGCAGCTCGTGATAGGCCGCTTCCATTGCGTGTCGCTCTAAAATAGAAAAGCTAGTGGTGGTGAATAGTAAGACGCAAGAGTGACGCTAATATATACATATATATATAGGTTTCCACACCGACTCGGTTTTCCCAATTGAAAAAGGAAATGTTTTCCTTATTGTCATGGGAGTCCAACTTTATTATTATTTTTTTTCTGTCGAAAATAAAAAGGATAAAATGTGAAAAAACAAATGTGGAAAACTTGAGGGGGAGCACATATACAGCTAAACTAAAAAATATATTTATGATGGTTCATCAATTATATGGTACCTCTCTTGTTGGATTCGAGAAATTTTTCGTCCGATTATAACAATGTCACGTGGCGTTATCAAATTACCTATACCATAATATGTACATGTGCTTCTATATTAATAATATATCCTAGAGTTTAAGAACGTTGTCCATTCATGTGTACTTATGCAAAAGTGGAGTTGTTGGGCCAAATGAACTGCATAATGGTCTTACGTTCACACAAAGTTTTGTCCATTCTATTGGGCCAAGTGAACCAAGTCCGTATTGACAATAGGTTTAAATAGTTTTTCAAGCGAGGATTAAAATTTTGATTTCTATAGTTTTGGTTATAAGAGTCATGTTGACGTAACTATTAGGATATATAATACATTAGAAAATAAGGCTTTCTAGTTTGGTTTTTCTTTATTTATAATTATATATATATAATTAAAATTTGTTTAACATTTTCCCTTCTTTTTTGGTTAAAGTCATAAATGTGACAGACAACGGCGGATCCAGAAATTTTTTAGCGGAGGTGCAATTTTAAAAAGTTAAGAGCTCAAAATAAAAGTAAAAAGACAACTAAACATCCTTATAATTTAAACAATACTAATGTTATTCATAATTAATTAAAAAAGACAACTAAGCCTCTTCCTCCTCAAGTTTGCTACTGATTTTACTAATACAGAGAGAGCTAAATAAGAAAAAAAAATTATTCAAAAAAGAAAAAAAAACAAAAAACAAAAAAAGAATAAACAAAATTGGCGCTTGCTCAAGAAAAAAATAAATATGCATTCGACTTACTTTGGATTGGCGTACTCAAGAAGAAAAAAAAATGCAAGATTCTTGTGATGCACACACACTTTGATGAAATTGGGTAATGTTAAATTGGTCTTTTATGAAGAGAATTCCTAATCCCACTTAAATAAGGAATTCCTAAAACCCAATTGAATAAAAGGAACTCCCAATTAAAACCCAATTAAATAAGGAATTATACCAAGCCCTTTGAAAAGCCCACGCCAGCAGTTTCCCTTTCTTTATTTTATTTTATTTTTTTTAAACCCTGGTCCAAAACGACGTCGTTTTGGCCAGGCTTCGTTTTAAAAAAAACAAGTGCGCAAGCTTTGCATCGTTCCAGCTTGAAGGAAAGGGCCGCACTATTTTTAGCCACTCAGAGATAGCCTTTTTGATCTTATTGGCTTAAGCAGACCATTCATGAGCATATAAGATCAAAGAAAGCAACCTACAGTCCCATCCATGCATACTAACTATAAACAACCGATTTGCTTATTCAACAACTCTCTAATCAGTTTAGGCTAGTGGTTTGGGCATTTCGTCAAACAGGTTGTGTGCGTCTAGCAGAGGTGCAACTCCAGCAGCTGTAATGGAGTTTTCCGGCCACCGGAGGTGCAGGTGCACCTCCTTGCGCCTGCACAGATCCGCCACTGGTGACAGATATCAGGAGAGCTTGAATCCAAGACCACTTTAGAGCACACCAAAAGCCGAAGTCAATACACCTTATTGGTGTTTAATTTTTTCACTAGCGAATTCATTACACCCAAAATCTCAAGATCCCTGATATTGTTGTAAATCAATATGATTATTATGGATGCCCACCATATCTCTTTTACCCATAATTCCTATCGCTATATTTGTACCCCCATGATGTGATTGTAACCTACCTTATGACTCAGCAATGATGTATATGACCACTCTGCCTAATATGCGACTCACCAATGATAAATATGACCACTTATGGTAATAAACTATGTATTTCTTATGCCTATAAATAGTCACCAGAGATGAATGAAAAACACACAAGAATAGAAGTGAAGAAGCTTAAAGTTGAGCTCTTGATAATTATTGTTTCTCTTCCTCTAAATTCTCTCCATAATTTCCTGTTTTATAACAGATATAATAATATGTAATGACCAAGGGGACTATTATTATTGGAGTCTAAAAAAACTAATATAGGATTCAAATCACGTGGATAAAAAATTTATTTCGTCCTTAATTATATTTGAACCCAGCAAACAACCAAATTCACATCACAAATTTCATGGTCGCATCCCAAAAATTATTCTCAATAGCAGTAGTTTTCATCATATAACATATTATTATATTATTATTATTATTATTATTATATGATATATCCCAACATCTCTAGGGCTCCTCACGAAGGTCCTTAGGAGTCAGGTGGATCTATCTACATTCTTCCCTGCATTTCTTCCAACTGATCTGTTAGAAGAACTCCCCGCAGCACCCTCAGCCACAGCAGGAACTACATCATCAGACTCGTCATCCTAGATAACAATGGGAAAAAGGCAACACAATCAGTCAGCAAATTCAGAAGTAGGGATATATATAAAAGAGAAGGGAGACGGGCAGTGCTTAAAAGCAGTTATCCATGCACCTTAGGTCATCCCCTTCCCCCAATATCTCTTGTTAAAGAAAATAAAATAAAAACCTCATTTCTGCCATGATGTTATTTTAAATAAAAAGGGGTAAGTCCACTTACTCCTGTATCAGAAACTACTTGATTTTGATGAGTAGAACCAGTGGAGCTGAAATAAGATGAAGAAAATGATGTTAGTCTGATATGTATAATGTAACCTAACCTGAACAAACTAAATGTTTATTTGGTTATTTTTATTTGACAGTAAACTTTTCAGAATAACCTCCTTCACCTTCTTCTTATTCTTATGAACATAATCGTTTTCTTATTCTCTCATCCAAACATCCACACCTTATTATCGTGCCGATGCTATTGAAAACAGGGAGGAAATAAGGGAGGGATAATAGAAAATACATGGTGTCTGCATGGTAATAATGTCCAGATATTCGCATAGGAGAATTTATATATATATATATATATATATATATATACAAAGTCAATAAATTGACTTTGAAATGAGATGAGGTTTACCTGGATGGTTTCGAGGAGTTACTTCTTTCTTCAATAGATATAGCCATAGCTAGGAGCATTTCAAAATCATCCTCAGAATATTCACCCTCTAATTAAAAAGTAGTACATTTGGCGAATATTAATTTTTTGAAGTACTAAAAAAGCAATTAACTAAAAATCATTGTTATCAGTAGAGGGATATTTTGTTTTAGGGTATAAAGGGATATTAGCCAGCCTCACCGTTTACAATATCTTTGCCTTTTCTTTGTGAATCTAACAGAGAAAGTTGAGCGGCAAACTCCTTATCAATTTGTTCTTGCGACAATGGAGCCTGTATTTGGAAGGATAAATAATAAACTCGAAATTTAGACGAAACTCGAAATTTCCAAAATATATCAAATGACAAGAAGAAAATGGGAAAAAAGGATTACCATTCTCTAAGACAAACAAATACTTCGGCTAAGCCAATCGGTAAATGAAAAATCTTGCTACGATTTGAGTCTCACCTCTGAACACTTGCCCAAGGCATATATATAGGTTTGATCACGGGAAGGAAGCATGTTGGATTGTATTCATGGAGGGTTAAAGAGACCAGAGAGAGCAAATCTTTATTCTATGCGCAAAATCTGTTTGCATGCTCATTATTTAAACACTAGTTATTTGCACATAATGCTTTGAATTTTTTCTTTTTTAGTTATCAATGGGAATGAAAATCAACTAATTGTTGTGATTGTGAAGGTAAAAATATATATGAGATCTCTTGCAAAACTTATTCATATAGGATGCAAATAAAAATCCAAATTCATTCATTTCTCATGATTAGAAGAAATTAACCAATGATATGTAAACTAACATACAAAAATACAAAGTAGCTAGCGGAACTAAAACAGCTAATTGAAGTTAAACTCTATTAATGTTATTTTCTTGTGAGATCCATATGTTCAATAGGCATCTCTCAATTAATGGGACTCCAGCCATGCTCTCGTATGCAATTGCAATGAAGCACATATGAGTAAGGCATGTTCCTAATTTTTTGTAAAGATGATTCATGAATGAACAGACTTGAAAATTAGACGGTTTGGGTCGTTAAAGTAAAATTCACAGTGGACGTCACAATGTGTCCATAAAATTAGATTATTTGAGCATTCCCTCAATAGAAAAGGATTATGTACATAATTAGGTCATTGCATGGAGCCTATGTGAAACTCTTCTCTTAGGAATATGCTCATAATCAAAAGAATAAATATTATGCACCGCATATAGAAACAAGTTGAAATGACATCGAAACTTATTTACAAGATACTTAAAATTGTCCAGAAAATTATTTATTCTCATTCTCATGATCAGAAGAAATCAACCAATTAGGACATTCATCAACCACAACTTTTCCTTGTGATCCATGTTCAATAGGTAACTTGAAGCGGCAAACGGGGCAATTGTGTTGATTCTCTCTAATCCATCCTCCTATGCATTTCTCATGAAACGGATGCGAGCAAGGCATGCAAGTGACCTCATCCCATCCCGCAATAAACTCTTCCATGCAAATAGGGCAAAGCTCATTTTCACGCACAACACGGCGTCGTTTTCTTTCTCGACCCTCCTCCTTCTCCTCCTCCTCATCATCATCATCATGATGTTGTTCATCATCAGCCACCACTCTTGTCCTCTTTAGCATCTTCTTGAGCAATGCATCCCTCGCGAGCACTGTTTTATCCGAACATATATCACACAGCTCCAAGATATGGGTTATATTCATGTCAACCCTCAAACGCAGTATTTTGGGCCCCTTTTTTGAATCCGACTTGCCAATTTCACGACCGCCCTTTATAATATCCTCCACGACTGAATCGTGCCACTCGTCGTCCTCGATTTTCAGTTGGTACAGTTGCTCCGAGAGAAAAAGCTTGACGACGTCGAGTTCAGTGTCTAACGAGCGCACATCATCAATTGTATGTGTTGCTGTTATGGCGGGCTCTTCATGCTGGCAGATAGCAATGCTTTGGGTTTCGTCTTCTTCGGAGAGGTTGACGTAGTACTTGTTGTATACGAAGAGGGTGAAGTTGATTTCAAGTTTAGCCCTATCATGTGGAGATGAAGATTTCTCATTTTGATGATCATGATCATGATCAGGGTGGTCTACTAATTGTGTGGTGATTAGGGGCTTGACATCACAGAAGAATCCTTGATCGCTCTCGTGATAGATTTCCATTCACGAGTATATATTGAAGCATAGAGAACCAAGAGTAGTGGCATGATTATATATATATATATATATATATATATAGGTTTTAAATCCATGTAAAATGTGGAAACTGACTTCTTCTCGAAACAGTGTTTTCCTTTTGTTAAACGGAGTTTGAATTCTTTCAAGTCAAGGACTGGGAAATTGTTGCTTTTCTTTTCTTGTTTGAACGGGAAAACCAAAAGTCCAAAACATATGAAACCCTCATGTAGCTGAATCGTAGAAAGAATGGGAAAAAAAAACAAGATATACACAAAGGCAGAGGCCACAAACAGAGCGACACCCGTAATCCCACAAACTAAGCTGGCCAGCAACAACACGTCCCTCACGTGATCTCTACCCCCGCCGCCACGTGCCCCGACGAACAACGACTTCGCTTCCGTCAGCGACGTCTCGCTCGCACAGGAGACCGTGATCCGACGGCCACAGCTTTCGACCCTCCGATTCCATCGCCACCGCCATAAAAAACACCACGATCGCCACGCCGATTTCCATGGGAAGCGCCATTCTATCTCTCTCTCTGCCTCTGTCTTCGTCTCTGTCTCTAGAGAGTTGAGGTATGCGCGCCAAACACTCTACACTCAACAGCAGCTCCTAATTTAGATCCAAAGTTAGACGAGATATTAAACCAATTTAATAAGTTGAAAATAGACGACTCAGGTAACAAAGTAGTTGAGAAATTTCCAGGCAAACTTAGATTTCCTAGAATAGAATAAGCATGTTAGGAAGAGGACGAACAACAGGAAGAGAAAGACCTTGGATAGACGCTGATGGAAACATCAGAGAAAGAGGAGGAGCTTCCAGCTCAAATAACTCTACAAGTTTTGTTAATAGACTTTTTAGTAGGCCCCAACCAACAGAACTTCAATTAGATGAATTAATAGACTTTTGCCCAGAATGGTTTAAGAGCAGTAAATCCAACAACTTTATATGATAAAGCTTTCCAGCTAAGTAATAGAACTACTTTCTTTAGCACCCGGACTTGAAAAACGAATCTTTCCTTTCTTTAATTTTCTTTCAAGTCCGTAGTAGCGTCAAGACTTGGGCTATATATACAAACTTCGAAGAGTCAGTTTGCAGCAATCGAGAATTCTGGGAGCACTCACAACCTCCAGCACTTCGTATAAACACTTTCAGGATATCCCGAAAGAGAAAAACCCTTCCCCCTTTTAATTCGGTATGTCTTAATATATAATTTGTAGATAGTTTATTAGAATTGCGGTTTTTCAATATATAATTTGTAGACAAGTGTTAGAAGGAAATTTAGATCTAAGTTGGTGTATTATTAGAAATCTTAGGTAGAAATACGCTAAGATAAAGACGTTTCAGGCCAGTAAATCTGACAGAGACCTCTAGTAAAGACAACATAGCTATGGAAAAAGAGCGCAATTATTTAGAATATCTTTGTTTAGAACTTTCTAATCCTCAGAGACAATTTAGAAAATCCATAGCAAAAGAGTTTTCCATTCAGTGTAATTTTCCTAGCGATTTAACGGCGCACACTCTTCATACTGCAGAAGGTAGTGAGACTAATAGACAGTTAAACGCTGTTATAGATTTGTTAATTAATCTTGGTTATAAGATAGAGCAAAAACAAGGTCAATTAATAGAAAATTTTGAGACAATAGAAAAATCTTATTCTGACAGAATTTCTAAATTAGAAAAACAAGTTAATAGATTAGCTACCAATCTAGATTTAGAATATCTTTGTGAGAATTGTGAGAAGACCAGACGCACTGAGAGAGAGACAGATCAGGGAGAAGCTTTAGAGAGAAGAAACCTTCCGAGACAAAATGCCCTTCTCGAGCGACAGCTGTCAGACCAGAAAAATAAGATTCTTTTCTTAGAAGAACAAAATAGACAAACTCAGCTTCAATTACACCTTGCACAGACTCAAGCAAGGTTTATTCCACTTCCGCATCGAAGTGGTCAGATGGGTGGTGACTTTCCGGTAAGTTTCAATAGGGTCAGTGAAACGGCCAAAACAGTTTCACCTGGCCCGTCTCAAACGGTGGACGGTAAAGGCTCATCAAATCCGTTGATGGCTGAGGCTTTGCCCAAAAGCCTACAACAGGTACAGATTAGTTCAAAGACAGACGAGGGCAAAAACGTTGCCCTCTCACTAGATCAGACTGCCCAACTTCTGGCTCAGAACTACTATTCACCCCCTTGCCTGCAGTCAACCAGTCAGCAGTTAGAAGATCTAATTTCATTTCAGACAGCTCAGACTTCTCCAAGAAGCAACCCGTCATCATCAAGATCGACGAAGACAAAGAAAAAGAAGACTGTAGCAAAGAAAGAGATTGAACAGACAGTTGCCAAGGTGTTTCAAGATTTTTTGAAGAACATGATGCCAGCTACACAGATGCAGGCAGACCAGAAAAAGGATATTCATCGTCAAGAAGACCAAGAAGAAACACCCACGCAAAAGGAGCTAAAACAGCTTAGAGAAGAATTGACAAGACTCCAGCAAAGACTGCAAGACGTTGAGAGAACGCCAGCCTTTAGCAGTGACGCAGACCCGAAGCCGCTAGACGACGAAGGCAATAATACGGACGTATCGTTTGACGGGTCGTTTTGTACGGCTGATTGTCATGAACTTGACTAAATTAGAAATATGAATTCGGGTTTTTTTTAAACTGTTGGACTATAGAATCTCATTTAAGTTAATCCTCTCTCTTAATCCCCTCTCTTGCCAAACATGAATTTTCAAATGTTACAGTTTAGTGAGTCACAATTACCAAACACAGTATTGCTCGGTATCATTTTGTCGTGTTGTGTTTAGAGTCCTTTTTTGGGTATGAGCCACGAGGTGGTCTTGAATGAGCCCCAACTATGGGTGGCACCTTTAAGCCTTAACCACAATTCAGACTAATCTCCGCTCACACTAGGTCGGTCCATAAAGGATAAAGTGCTGAATAAAGTGGTAACTCCATACGAGAGCAGGGGTTAAGGAATGAGAGGGCCGAACCACTCACACCAACCACCTTGATTATTGTGTTTAGAGTCTTTAGTAAAGTAAATTATTCTCTACTAGTCACTATTCGACTTTAATCAATGGGAAAAAACTGTGGTGGGAAAATAATGCGTGTGTGAACACTTGTTTTTCTTTTCTAATTTTTTAAGAAAATAATCTCTTTTTTGAAGTTGTCGATGGGGCCCAATGAGCACCCGGACTTGAAAAACGAATCTTTCTTTTCTTTAATTGTATTTGAAGTCCGTAGAAGCGTCAAGACTTGGGCTATATATCATCGTAGGATATACGATTATAAACTATTCCTAGAGAACTTCAGGAGACCATGATCCGATGGCCTCAGCTCTCGACCGTCCGATTCCATCGCCACCGCCATAAAAAAACACTGCGATCGCTACCCCGATTTCCATGGGAAGCGCCATTCTATCTCTCTCTCTCTCTCTGCCTATGTTTTCGTCTCTGGCTCTAGAGAGTTGAGGTCCAAACACGACGTCGTTTTGTAAGCCAAACACTCTACACTTTGTGTATGTGTGGTGTGTGTGTCTCTCTCTCTCTAATGAGATAGAGTAGAGCAATTGTTTTGATTTGATTTTATTCATTCATTCATTCAGTTGGAGTGGGGATCCGACTCCAATTGCGTTCAAACAAAGCAAACGGGTCCACTCCAAGAAACAATTGGACGTTGCCGTACTATGGTATCAAAGAGGAGGGGAAGGAGGGGAGTGACGCTTCTTCCTCCTACCCTTCCTTTGGGACTCACACAAGAATAAAGGGCTAGGGTTTTATGCAAAGGATTATCCAAACGATTTATAGTAAACTATGTGGAGGGGATTCAAACTCGGGTGCTGAATAGGTTCTCAATTTCTGAAATTGTTAAGTTTATGTATCTTCTTCTTTTTTAGTTCTTTAAGGAACCTATTAGCTACACTGCTGAATCTATCTCTTCAGCCGGTCATTAAAGACTACGTAATCAAATACTAAATAGAAAGATGAAATAAATAGAAAATTTAATTCATTAAAACAACTCATTACAGAAAATTAATAAAACTACAATTTTTCATCGTGATCCATTCAACAGCAGGCATCTCAAAGTGACAAACAGGGCAATTAGGTTTATCCTCATGTAGCCATACTCTTATGCATGTTTCATGAAACACGTGTGAGCAAGGCATGCAAGTAACATCTTCTGATCCCACAACAAACTCTTCCATACAGATAGCGCAAACCTCACTTTCTTGCACTACACATCTTCTTTTTCTTTCTCAACCCTCCCTCTTATCACCATCACATTCTTTTCCATTATCATCATCCACCACCTTAACCCTCTTCATCATCTTCCTGATAAAAAAACTCCTTTGTGCACCTCTCACAAGATACGGTCTCTTCTCATAACAACCCTCAAGCCTAGCATTCTATTGGAACCCTTTTTTGAACCTGAGTTGCCAATTATATTGCTCACGGCGTCTATAATCTATTCCACTATTGCATATGGCCAACCCTCTTCTATTCTAAATTCAGAATGAAGCGTGTGATAAAGAACAAATTTGACGTTGCCGTGCATAGTTTCTACACAACTCACGTTAAGTTTGCGTGACGCTTCTTTCACATTGGTATACATGAGTACTTTTGGTATTTCCGCCTTTCGAGACATCGATCACGTAGTATTTGTTGCGCACAAATAATGCAAAGTCGATATGGATTAATAACCTTTGTGATGAAATTGAAGATTTATCATCATGATCACAATGATCAGGCTGGTAGTCTAGCACAAGGGGCTGGACGCCATATTTGGGGGTCGTTTGGTATACAGGCTTGGCTTGGTCTAGCTTGACTAAATTTAATACCATGTTTGTTTCATTTAATTCTAGTCTTAGATGGGATTTCTAATACTGGGCCCACCAAAAGCACCTCCTTATGAGGGGACTACCAAGCCCATGTAGAAATGGAGGATTAACTAATCCTATGTTCACTAATGTATAAGATGTATATATTATATTGTAATACTAATAACATATATTACTACTACTACTAATAATAATAATAATAATAATAATAATAATAATAATAATAATAATAATAATAATAAACATATACTATAATGTACATATATACATATATACATGTATACATGTATATATATAAACACATATATACATATAATATATATAAATACATATAGATATATGCACGTATATTATTATTATAATATACCCATATACACATATACATATTAATATTATAATAATAGCATACATGTATATATGTAATATATATTATATTATGTTATATATTATAATACATACATATACGTATATATATGTATATGTATGTATTATAATATACATATACACACGCATATACACATTTACATTATATATTTATACTATATGTATATATTATAATATACATATAGATATATATGTGTATGTGTGTATATGTATTATTCCCATGTATATATTATAATATATAGATACACCTATATACACATATTATATACGTGTATATATGTATATTATATATGTATAATGTAATAGCCCGGTCCTAAATAAATATTTAATTACTCATTTATTTAGGTAAAAGACTATTTTGCCCCTGGAATATTTTATTAGTATAAAAGTCGACTTTTGATTCGGGAAGGAATTTGGGAATTTCAGTTGTACCATTGCGTAGAGCGCGATAAAACGAGTTCGTAAACACGTAGTGGGCTTAAATTCGAGTTGTATCGAGAAAGATACAATTAAAATACATTGAAGGGCAAAAAGGTAATTTTGGAAACCATTTTTATTTAAAACCCTCTCTCTCTCTCTCTCTCTCTCTCTCTCTCTCTCTCTCTTGTTGGCATCAGACCCCCCCTTGCGCTGTTCATACGCATCCGACCCCCTATTTGGGTCGCAACCGCCGAGATGGTGGAAGTTGATCACGTGGTGGTGGAAAGTTCAGCCTTTTTTCAATCGGATGATGGTGGTGGTGGTTTGGTTTTTTTTTAAAACATATTTTTAATTATCAAAATAATGTTTTGATGATACAATTATAATTTTTAAATTAGTTCTTTTTTTCTCAACCTTTAGATCTAATCTGAGGGTAGTTGACCACAGTTTCCTTGGACTACAGGTCCAAGAGAACGGGACTGATATATACATATATATTATGTATGTATATAGATATATTATAAAATATATATACATATATATAGATATTTTTGAAAAAATAAAAAATCTAGTCTTAGTCCAAGCATACACCAAATGCAGGATAAGTGTTATCCAACTTAGACCAAGCCAAGCCAAGCCAAGCCAAGACAGTCCCTAAGCATAGTCCATGCCAAGACAGTCTTGTATAACAAATAAGTCCTTGAAGTCCTCATTGATGCAGTGATATGCATGCATTGTGATGTCAAAACTCAAAAGAGAGAAGTTTTAAGTCCAAGATAGATCCAATAGTAGTGACATTAAACTAGTATTTATAGAGGGTTTTAAATCCGTGTGGAGTAGGGAAAAGTTGGAAATCAACTTCTTCTCCTTGTTTTAGTCAAAGAGTCTAATTTCTTGCAAGTCAAGTTTCGAAAATATTTTTCTCCGTTTTCCTTTAGGATTTCATTTCTGCTTTTCATTTTGTTTTTCGTTACACACAAAACAAAAAAAAAAAAAAAAAAAAAAAAAAGAAGAAGAAAGAAAAAGAGACTCTAATTCACGATTACAAGAAATCAGCCAATGATTCACAACAAAAAATTAATATACAAATATATAATATATAATCAAGCAGAAGACAGCCATCTCCTTCCTCCACGTCAGCATATATCGAATTTTAATATTTTAAGGTTGTTTTTTAAGAAATAATTAATTATAGTCTTCCTATGCTACCCTTGTAATCAATTACACGGCTCTCTCTCTCTCTCTCTCTCTCTCTCTCTCTCTCGTGATTTTGATATGCTGGGTTTGCTTATATTTGTCGGTTTGATATGGTGATGGGTTTTAAGGTTAGAATCGCGGTGGTGATTCTTTCCAAGGCCAAGCCATCAGTTTTAGGTGTAGTCTCTTTGGTATATTTCTAACTAATAATTAGGTACTATGATGAGGTGTTTTTAGTTAGGTGCTATAATTTATATTCGATTAGGCACTATGATTGAGGTATATTATCTATATATATATATATATATATAAAGAAAAAGGCAGTGAAACATTAAAAATATCAGAAAATGTCATTGGTTAATTCAAATATTAAGAATTGAAATTATTAATTAAATGAAGATAATATGATAAATTCACATTTTTTTATATTAAACAAATTTAAATTAAAAAAAAATAGATAATATGTCATACTTTTATGGAACATAACTACCCATGTTATTTTTTCTCAATTTAAAAAAAAAAACTCATGTGCCAAGGGGCTAGTACTTATTTATATTCGTTTTTGTAATTGAGATCTTCGCTTTCCATTAGCTGCATTCGATTAGGCACTTGGATTAAAGTATATTTATATTTATTTAGCCACCTTCCATTAGATACTGTGGGTATCTCGATTGCTTTCTGTTTTGGTGTATTCTCCTTTTTAGATGAAATTATCTTGCATCATTAGAAGAAGTCGCACATAATCAACCCAAAATATGTCCCTAAACAAAAATGTGGAACATACCTAAAATATCAAGTTTTAAAACTAATAATGAGTATTTTAGCAGATGTGGGTTGGGCTAGTTGGTCATGGCATTATGCCCGTTCCTCTACATTCGAGTTTGATCTCCCTCCCCGTATATTAAAATAATTTAGAATAACACTTTATAAGAAAAGCAAAAGAGTATTTTGGGGGACAAAAAAAACGGAGAAAAACATTTAAAAACCAAAATAGACCTTATTCAACTTGGAAGGAAAAAAGAAGAAGTGTGCTGGTAAAAGTTCCATGGCCAACTAAACCCACCTAAAAGTTTGGTAAGCTATTTAGGCATATCGGAAGTTCGATAGGGTTAAAGTGCTAAACTCTCTCCTAAGCGAAAAAGACTTTTATGAAATTGAAATAACACTATTTTGCTATTATCGGCCAATAACGTTGTGACATATTGATAACAAGATGCCAAACTTTCCAGAAATTTGATGCCAAACTTTCCAGAAATTTGATTCTCTACATTTTACGCCAAACTTCCCAGAAAATATTAAACAAATAAAAGAACCAAACTTCCCAGAAAATATTAAACAAATAACGGAGTGGATGAGATGCTCGCCTTGAGTAACAAAGATGTTCAAATTGTTGACACTACTTGCCCCTGGGCTTCCAAGGTTGGATTTTTATTTTATTTCAATTTTTGAAGAAAAATTAAAATATGTGTCTGTTTGTGTGAAGGTCTGGAACACTGTGGAGAAGCACAAGAAAGGAAACTGTAGCCATTGCTTCATTTGCTGGGAAGCACGTTGGTGCAAAATGTGGACGAGGTATACAAGTGTTTTATACTTGTGTTCGAATCCTCCTCCTCGTCTGATATCGATCGTATAAAGAAAATAATCGAATACTATTTGAAAGTAACTCAACTCAACCCACCTGACAACATATGGCAGACTCGTCATTTGGCTTGTCCAAATCTTTTGTAAACTTAATACAATTTTATGAGTCTTATACGGTTACAAACTTTCTTGAAGTATCATATAATTAATTTTAAAAACAATTAAAATTGTTTGGTAATTCAAATTTTGTAAAGAAAACAAAATTCCGTTGACCAATCTAAAATAAATCTTGGTATATATAGTTAATAAATTAGAAGTGCATCCATGACCATGAGTGCATTTTTTATTATTATAATCATAACATTTATTTTTATTCAAAATTATATTAAGATCATGAAACAATATTACCTTCAATTTTGATACGTGATTAATGATATAATCATGCTATAATCAATGTTTTGACCAACTGACCTAACCTACGTATGCTGCTTTATTACTCTTAAATTACCAGTATAGTTAAGGAAGTTTTCTATGTTAATAATTTTTTTATTTAAAAAAAAAGTGCGCACATCCTCGGTTGGACCTACTCACAATACAAGTCGACAATCAAAACAATATGTAGTCATTTTCAAAGACTGTTTGGTCATTTAAAATGTGAAAAACGAACAAAAAAAACAACGTATAGTTTGTTGGATTGACCAAAACGAAAATAGGAATAATGAATCAAATTGCTAAACAATTTATGATTTAAGATACCTTTCACATCCTTAGAAGAAAACCCAGAAGTAAACCCTGATGATCATTAGATTACATCTTTCTCTTAACTTTCTTAAATAAGGACATCCTCAAACCGCAGAAAGCCATACATTTTTTGAGAGTGAAAGGTGTGATTTGTCTCTCTTCCTTTTACAGGAGCGACAAGATGCATTGTCCAAGCTGGTTAAGGAAAAGATAGATCTTTTCTTAGTGGTTGGTGGATGGAGCTCAAGAAACACGTCTCACCCACAACAGATTGCAGAAAGTCGTGGAATTCCCTCCTATTATGTTGACATTGAGAAGAGAACTTTCTGTCTCAAGGTCCTCTTACTATAGGTGTCACAGCTGGTGCCTCTACTCCAGATAAGGTAATTTCCATCTGCCTAAATTGTTTATCGTCTTAATTACATTCATCTTTCATATTTTCCATTTGGGTTTTGGCTAGGTCATTGAAGACATTCTTATTAGGGTGTTCGACATCAAGCGTCAAGAATGCCTGGAACTAGCATAGAAGCTGAATTGAAGCCAGAATTTCAAATGAATGCAATATATAAAGTGTAAAATATTAATATTGTTAAATATTAAGAATAACAAATTATCATGTGCTTATCGTTAGTTTGTTGATATTTCCAGATTTTTGAACTATCGATATTTCTGAAATCAATTATATTTAAGATCTTGGTTATATCCATGGCTACTCGAAGCTCTTTCATCGGTAACATGATTTAACATGTTCACGTGTGTTGAGTTGATGACATGGATGATATTTCCCACTACAATTACTTATAAAAAAGCGACCCGAACTCATGATACACCACGTGGTCATACTTCAATACACACTACAATTACTCCAAAAAAATTACTTAATTCCTCTGAAAATTGTAATTGTGCAACTTTTTACATGACCTTTTTCAAAATTGTACTTGGCTTCCTTTTTGAAAATAATAAATTATATCGTTTCTTCCATAAAAGACCTAACCAAATACTTCCACATCTTTCCTTTTTGTCTTGGAGCGAACGAATTGTTAGATAAATTTCCAAATCCACAATTTTTTTCTGTCCCATTTTATTTAAATGGTAAGAGCCATTAATTGTGTTTACAAATTTGATGGTACATTCCAAAAGCAAGGTGCTTATCACCTGGTCTTTTCAGTAATTTGACATGTAAGCCAATGCCGTTCAGAATCGAAACGACGACCCCCTAAATCCGATCCTCTCCGGAAAACGACAAGCTTCCAAAATAGAAAAAAACACATAATAAACAAATAATTATATAAAAACACGAAATATTCATGGAGCACAGGCACATTGTTGGTCTGTAGATAAAACGAACACCACGAGTGCCAATCCCACCAGTCTCTCTCTCTCTCTCTCCACGCGCCTTTCCTTCTCTCTCCCTTTCTCTGCCATGGCGATCACTCTCCACCTCTGCCGCCTTCCATATCGCACCGATCTCTTATTCTCCGAAAGCCTCGCCGGAAAGATCTCTCTGAGTCGCCGGAAAGTCATCTCCGTCCGATGCTCCGGCGACTCCTCTTCTGCTGCGGTCGAGTCCGATTTCGACGCCAAGGTCTTCCGGAAGAACCTCACTCGAAGCAAGAACTACAATCGCAGAGGCTTCGGCCACAAAGAAGCGACCCTCGAGCTCATGAATCGCGAGTACACCAGTAAGCTATAGTTAGCTTTTAGTTATATCTCCGCGGGAATTTTTTTTTTGTCCGAATTAATTGAGTTTTTGAATTTTTTATTTTTCAGGTGATATTATAAAGACGTTGAAGGAGAACGGGTTCGAGTACACGTGGGGAAATGTGACGGTGAAGCTCGCCGAGGCGTACGGCTTCTGTTGGGGCGTTGAGAGAGCCGTCCAGATTGCTTACGAGGCCAGAAAGCAGTTTCCTGATGAAAGGATTTGGATTACAAACGAGATCATCCACAATCCAACGGTCAATAAGGTCTCTTTTTATTTTTATTTTTTTCATATTCAGTTTGTTTACTTTGTTTACATTAGCTAATTAAGTTAAGATGAATCTGGGCAGCGATTGGAAGAGATGAAGGTGGAGAACATCCCAATAGACGAAGGGCAGAAGCAATTTGAGGTGGTGGACAAGGGTGATGTGGTCATTTTGCCTGCTTTTGGAGCTGGAGTGGATGAGATGCTCAACTTGAGTAGCAGAGATGTTCAAATTGTCGACACTACTTGCCCATGGGTTTCCAAGGTTTGGGAGTTTTATTTAATTTGAAGTTTTCCCAGAAATTGAAAAAAATAAAAATTGGGTCTGATACGTAGTGTGGGCCTTTTGGTGTGAAGGTTTGGAATACTGTGGAGAAGCACAAGAAAGGAGACTACACATCAATAATTCATGGTAAATATGCTCATGAGGAAACTGTAGCCACTGCTTCTTTTGCTGGGAAGTACGTTATAGTGAAAAACATGGATGAGGTATACAAGTTTTGTACTTTGTCATTTGTTGGCATTCTTCAAGTTTTCAGCTTCAAGTTTTGTGTAGTGATGCTATTGGTTTAAATATTTTTTCAGGCAACATATGTGTGTGACTATATTCTTGGTGGTGAACTGAATGGGTCTAGCTCAACTAGAGAGGCGTTTCTAGAGGTGAATTTTTCTTTTTGTTGCTTATATGAATTCAAATGGGTCTGTTAATATTTTGTGCATCATGCAGTCTTGAAAGTGTTTTTGATTTGCTTTGAATGCAGAAATTTAAAAAGGCACTTTCTCCGGGGTTTGATCCGGACAGAGACCTAGTAAAGTTGGCATTGCGAATCAGACTACGATGCTTAAGGGGGAGACAGAAGAGATTGGTTAGTTTTTTTTGTTATGCTATGTTGGTCCATCGTTTGGCAAATAGATTTGTAGGTGTAGATTATTGACTGCATCGATCAATCTAACAGGAAAATTAGTTGAGAAGACCATGATGCGTAAGCACGGAGTGGAAAATATCAATGATCACTTTGTCAGCTTCAACACAATTTGTGATGCGACTCAAGTAAGTTGTTTCCTCAGTTCAATGTTTTTCTTGCTAGAGTTGTAGAGCATTGTGTACCATATCTTGCCTTTCATCCTCATGTAAGATTGTGTTTATAAAAATAACCAAGAAAGAAAAAGAAATGCATTTTAATACTCCATAGAAGCAGCCATGTGCACACCCTTGTGAAGCTAGTTCGCCAATGAGCATGAACGCAGAGTTACTTTATTACACTTGCTGACCGGTATGGTCATGTGCACATTTTTTTGAATATTTAGTGAGACTTAAAGGTGATCTGTCTGTTCCTCGTACAGGAGCGACAAGATGCAATGTACAAGCTTGTTGAGGAAAAGCTAGATCTTTTGTTAGTCATTGGTGGGTGGAACTCGAGTAACACCTCTCACCTACAAGAGATTGCAGAAGAGCGTGGAATTCCCTCATATTGGGTTGACAGCGAGAAGAGAATAGGCCCTGGAAACAGAATAGCTTATAAACTCAATGTGAGTCTGTAAAGACAGAATTCCAATTTAGATTGTTGTGCTTTACAAGATTATTTTACATTCAGTTGTTGTTTTTATTTTGGTATGGCTTTTGTACATACCATAACTGTCTATCATGTATTTTGTATAGCATGGCGAGTTGGTTGAGAAAGAGAACTGGCTTCCTCAAGGTCCTATCACAATTGGTGTGACATCTGGTGCGTCTACTCCAGATAAGGTATTTCTCATCTTTGTGAATGTTATTTGAACCATTGAATGGCTTTTGTTGCAAGCTATGTGAATTCATATTATCTGCCAATGCTTTTACTTCTTAGCTTGATAGTTGATCATTTCCGTTCGGGTTTTTACCAGGTTGTTGAAGACACTCTTATCAGGGTTTTCGACCTCAAGCGTGAAGAAGCCCTTCAACTAGCATAATCTAAGTTAGGCATCATCACTACACAGTAGCCCAGTTCATCACAGCTTTATAATTGTATAATCAAGATGAAAGTCCTTACTGTATCTTTATGTTGTAAGGCTCCAGGACCCTAGAAATGTAATTGCTTTACTTATATGATATAGAGGTCAAGGTTTTATTTCTGGAACGTCTTCCTGATATGCAGAGCAACTATTTGTCATTGGTGAGAAGTTCGTGTGGAGCATGTCAAGTCCTTACCAATAATATGTCAGAGAAAACCCGAATTCGATTAGTGACGCATATCATCTTGGTAAGAAAAGGAAAAAAAAGTGAACTAACCAACCTCCTATCCGAAATTAGGCCTAATTTGCAACTAAAAAGCGAATTCTGTGAGAGGAAAAGTACAATCATCTTGACAAACAAAAGCAATATATTTGCAACACTAGGTCTCACTAACGAAAGGATGAAAGAGCTGAAAAACAAAACGAAAGGATGGAAGCCAAGTCTGTGTAAAGAATGGTACCCTTTTCGAATCCGACAATTGCGGAACTGTTACAATATGTATACTAAGTTCAACACTTGTAGGAGAAGCAACTATACAACATATAAATACATACAATTTTAAAACCTGGACTTTGCCTGGGAACCACAATACGAATCATGTGTAGTGCTGGTATGTATACATTCAAAAGCAAATTCAACTGGTCAATCTATGTGTTGAATTGTGCCTCGAAAAATAATTTTTGGCTGAATAAAGTATATGAACTGCTCCACCGATCTGTCAAATTGTGCTTCATAAATGAGTAATGAATTCTCTCTCTTTTCGTTTGAACTGGAAAATCATTTTAGATGGGAGCAATATCTGGCTTTTTACTTCAGTAGCCAGAAGAGCAGCATCTAATCCTGCTCTTCCATTCCATCTAGATGCCCCAGAAACTAGCCAACAATGCTATCTGATTGCCTGGAGAGAGACGAGTTAACTAATTCTGGAACCCGATCGAGTAAGCGGTTCATCTCCTCTGGAAATTCACCCTTTGCTCGGTTAGTTTTTCCTCCTACGATCACTGCTGTTCCATCTTGTATGGCCCATATCTTTTGTTTGAGCAGAGGAGAAAACAAAGAACATAGCATATAAGAATAATCTTGGGGAACACTTTCAATAATGGTAACAATAAGCAATATCAATGTAACATACAGGCACCCAAACCAACTATGATAGGTCTTCACCAATCATAGTAGGTATCGACCACAATGTAAAGTCCATAAGATTCTATAAGATCCAACAATAAACACATTCCACTATAATAGAGAGAGTGCACACTTGATGACACCAAATTACATGTAACCTGCTTGATGAAGACAAATATAAAGCATTTGAATCATCACGAAAAGAGGGCTACATGTTTTCTGGTTTATAAACACACAACACTGACCTGTGAATGAGACAGAAAACTGATGCAAGTAGTGAGCATTAGCGCGCCAAATCCAGCATATACCACCGGCACTCCCGGGTCAGTCTGATAAGAACAAGGTTTAGTTTCAACGCTGAATGGATGCAGGTGAAGAAATTTGCACATTTCTTTTCGTATTTAAAGATGTTTAGTTGTCACCTTTAAGTCAAGACCGCTACTCCCAATTGCATCTACAATTACAACTTTGGTGCCATCAATTTCAATTGGAAGCTTGGAACTTGGCCGTCGAATTCCAGCAAATTTCCCTTCTTGATCATACAGGACAATTGATTGTAGATCACGGGCAAGCATTGATCTGAAATTACAGAAAAGAGTGTAGATAAGCAACAGCCAGAAACAATAATCTGCCGGAATGAAGGGGCACTATTCCTTCTCCCCCCCCCACCAAACCCCCACCCCCCCCCCCCCCCCCCCCCCCCCCCCCCCCCCCCCCCTTCCTTCTCCTTTAAGGATGAAGGGGCAGGGGAAATAAATCAATCTGTAAAAAGAGTTTTAAAGGCTCTCCATCCCAATTCAGCCTTGGGTAATTGTTCAAAACACCAATAAGAAAACAATTTGGAGTTAAGCTATCTACTTTGGTACAAGAAGACATAGCTGTAAGACAATCACATACATTCCCTTAACATCAGGAGAATTAACATCTCCAACGGGTAAGAAGGTTCCATAAAGCTTCTTGTCTCCATTGATCTTAAGAGGTGCCACCGCCAAATTAAAAGGTCCTTCATTATCCTTAAGTACTTGTAGCGCTGAAATACTCCAATCTGTCTGGTATATGGTGATCCCTCCATACCTTAAAGGGTTATTTACACTGATTGTTTTCCTTAGCACCTCCTTACCCTCAAGGTCCAGTAGCGAAAGATCAGTGTAAAATTGTGATACCTGTGACATAAACAAGGGCGTGAGAAGGTAAACCACCTAAGCATTTAGCAGTACCGAGCAAGCACAGCTGGGAGGTGATTATGTCATTATAAAGATCATCATAAGAACATGCCAGAGTTAAGATGGCACAAAGGAAATAAAATGGAGAACATCTTCAGGAAGCCTCTTGATCAATTTTCAAAACAGAAAATACATTTGTAGCGAAAGGTTTCCACTCTTTATATATATATTTCCGCTAACAAACATAGACATAAACATAAACATTCACCTCGCCACTGTCGTAGTAGGTCATGTAGAACCTGTTGACATGAACCTCTGTATTGAAAGCCTCAGTTGGCTTAGAGAGAAACCCGATTGGGCCCATCACATCTCCTATAACAAAATTTAAACCCTGTGGAACTGTGACTGTTCCTTTGAAGCTCCCAGTTGCGCTAAGAGTTCCACCTACCATTATTAGCAGCATTGCTAAATGTACTCCAATAGGGGCAAACCGACCAGCCAACCCCCTGAAAGCATATAAAGAAGGCCCCTTCAAGAATACCTGAAAGGATGAAGCCATCCACAATGAACAGGTAGCAATAAATAATAAATATAAGGAACTAAAATTCAGAAGGGAGTATTAACATAAGCAAGGTGATATCTAATGCCAATTTAGATTAAACTATTATCAGTAAATGAGAAACACAAAACACATAGGGATACACTTATAATCCATTTTGCTCAGAATAGACAGAAAAGTGTCAATTTGTCCAGCTACCAGTAAAGTTAAAAAGAACATCTTCAAGACATGTTACTTCATTCATACAGGACCATATTGCCTGTAACCTTGTCTGTCACATTGTTTTCAGATTATAATATTTCCTAGTTAAGTATGTGTAAACTAATCGTATAAACTAGAAAGTTAAAGATGTTGAAATCCATAAGAATAAAAAGAAAAATAAAAGGAACTTAAAAAAAAAGAGAAAGAAAGAAAGAGAAAAGAAAAAGGAAGAAATAGATGAAGAATATGAAAGTATATAACCTCATATCCGGCTCCCATAAGAACAACACCCAAATCTTGAATTGATGCCCTTGGCAAAGACTCTGAAAATTCCTGCTTATTGATTGCCTCAGAAGATTGCAGAAAGTTCCATCTGTTTTTACCAATTAAATCATTGGTTAATAGGGTGGTGCCCACCTCATTTTCACTTTGGGGTTATGAAGTAAACTAAAAAAAGAAATCAAACCTTCTTGCAACCTTGACAAGGGGTATTTGTGTAGTGTAAGTGCAGGCCATTAGTGATGCACCGAGGAGAGCCAATAGTCCAAGGAAAATGGGGGATGTGAACATGTGGTCAAACCCGAGGGTAAGAACCCATCTCCAAGTGAAAATTCCCAACACCGGATTACTTTCAGGGTACTTATCGAAATAGAAATCCGGGGCCTCACCTTGGTCAATGAAAGTTCCTGCAGAAGCATTGCATTGCCAGAACGCCTACTTACAATTTTGTCCGAAGATAAAAAAAATATATCTTTATAACAACTCATCAACAAGACATAATGTCATAAAAACATGATAAATTATTCTCTTGAACATGAGTATCATTAGGCGCATTAAGAAACAAAAGCATTTGTTTAAGCTATATTTGTTAAGAATATATGAAGTAATGAGCCTAGGAAACAAGCTACCTTGAAGAAACTCTTAACTGTCATTTACTTAAGCAAATTAAAAGCAACTACTAACAAGCATTAAGCATCAGCAAGTAATCCCGATTAACAAAACAATAACAAAAAATAATTAAATGCTTATGTAAATAAAGATAGCAAACCCAAAACTCAAAACATACCCAGAGCCATAAGACCAGCAATGGCGAACATTTCTCCAATAGCCAAAGGCAGATAAGACAAAACTGACAAAACCCGTCTGGACAACCTCTTCACCAAACCCATTACTCCACTCCCACTTCCTAACTTCGCCGGAGCTTCCTCGCTTCCGCCGGCGCCGCCACTCTCCTCCGCCAACGGAGGCGGCTCTCCTTCAGAAAGTATAATCTGCTTGGCAATTTTGTTGCTTTTGGTGTTGTTCTTCTTGTTATCTCGAGGGGTCTTCAGCTTACAAGCGGTGGTGAATGAGAAAGGTGTCTTCTTGAATGAATGTCTGTGAATTTGACAATTGTGGGGAGAAAATGTGGGTTTCAAGGTGCAGGGGAGTAGAGGGGCTTTGAGGAAATAGGTTTTGGGTAGACAGGATTTTGGGGTTGTGGTGGGGTTTAGATTTAGAGCCTCCATTGTTGGAGACTTGTGAGAGCTGGAGTGTTATCAGCTCCAAAGCAACTGTGTCAGTTGAGGGACTGTGAGGCGTAACGACCCGTAGTTTTGGTAGTTTATCCGGAAAGGAGATATTTTTATTATTTTATTGTAACATTATTCCAAATCCCCTATACTCAATTTTTTTTGGGTCATAATCCCCTATACTCAATTGATTTATTTAATAACGAATTTTTTTTTTTAAAAAAAGAAAAAGAAAACCGTGCCTACTTTGCCAAAAATGAAAAATAAAATAGGAGCATGGAGCACTTCTTATGCGTACTACTACGTACATTATTGCATTCAAAACACAATTATATTATTATAATAAATATTTTTGGGTATGACGATCACACTTTTACATAACGTTATGAATTCAAGTACTATGATATAGGTGGATGTCTCGGTTGTATATTATGAACCTAATGTAGAGTATTAATTAACATATATACGTGTTAGCTATAATATGACTACATTGGTGACACCATGTGGATGTTTGATTATCACACTGAAATATTAAAAATCCAATGGTTAATCTGGAGCAACTATGTCTTTACCTAATTTCATTTAACACCATTAGAAAAACAAATGTCTTTACGTAATTTCATTTAACAACTAAGCAAAGACATGTATCCAAGTCATCTTGGAGATAAGGCTCCAACAAAAGAGGAATAACCTTCATCCATACAATAAGATCTCATACAGCTCACTACGAATTGTGCAACCGAATAATCAACTCCAGCACATAATGATCTAAGGACATACTTGAGATAATAGATATATCATTCAAATCTTCGGTAATGCTAGGCTTACTACATTTTTATACCACATTGTGTATCACCTCTTTAATAGAGGTGGAGACCACGAATATTAAAGAGGTGGTACACAATGTGGTATAAAAATGTGATAAGCTTAGTATTTTTCATATATCAAACACTGAATTCTTTTGAGATCATTATTTTTCTTGATATAGTATCAAGAGGCAGACACATGATGTACGAATGCAAATCCCAATTCCAAGCTAGGGTTTAATGTACCAGTTTTTGATGTCGTTTAATGTTCCCATTTAGGACATCCCAAATGACCAGAGTGACCCAAGAGCACAAACTGAAAACCAAAACCTTCTCCACCAAGTCATTTTTTCTCTCCCTTGGCAAAGAGGGATGTAACATCACAAGAATCGCAATAACTGGCAAAACCCTTGTCATGAAAATCTCCATGGTTCGTCTACCAAACCAAAACAAAGCTCCAATGGAAGCAAACACAAGCTGAACAAAACGGCTCACTCTGAGACTCGAAGCAGTGCCGGAAATACCCGCGGGTACTGACCAAGATCCGGGACCTGAAACATTGTGTGATTTGGTCCCTTTTCCATAAAGAGGCACCACCTTGTTCTCCTCTATAACATCCTTGCAAACCCAACATGTGGAATTTGAGTTCCATTTGTGAAGCCATTTGTTCAAACAAGTCCAGCAGTAAAGGTGGCCACAAAGAGTGACAATTGGGTCTTGAGCTAGCTGAGAGCATATGTTGCATTCAAACCCAGATCTTGAATCTGAAGGTGATTTCAGTTTTGCATTGGAGAAGATCAATTGGCTGAGCTCTATTTCAGCTCTGCAAACTGGGCACTCATTATTGGAATGTGACTTGAAAAGCCATTTCATCAAACAAGACCAGCAGTATAGGTGGCCACAGGGTGTTATGACTGGGTCTTGAGCTAAGGCCAGGCAGATGTTGCATTCAAAACCACAAGTATCATCACCTCCCTCCATGAGAGCTTCAAAATAATCCTAAAACATTATAAATCAACAAAATTAAAAAGCTTATAATACCAATCTTATACATAGAAAATGAAGTGTGTTCAAGGCAGCCATAGACATGCAATGATTAGAGTAGAACAAATTAAACTTTGTAATACATAGCAAGAGAGACATATAAATGCAACTACACCAAATTAATTTATAGGAAAAGGAGAAAAGAAAAGTGCAACAAATTATCAGAGAAGAACCATGTTAGAGTTTTAAGCCAAGGCCAAGCAATTGACTTCTTAACCCTATATGAGAGAGAACAACATTATTGAAATGAATTAATTAGGATTTTCTATAGGATAATAAGAGTGTTAAACTCACCTCAATTTTCAAGGGCTAGGACTGGTTCTGATTCCTGAGATATCCCGACTCGTGTCCCTCGACTATTCTGGTGGTGCTGGCAATGTGTGTGTGTGTGTGTGTGTGAGAGAGAGAGAGAGAGAGAGAGAGGTAGGATGTTCAGGTGTTGCAGGAGATTCATGTTCTTAAGACCCCTTCGGTAACATTTTCAGGTTTCAACAAAAAACAAAAACAGTTTATAGTTTTTTTTTCAAAAACAGAAGTCTAGTTTGGTATACCATCCCTTTTCCTGATGATCAGAGAAACTAAAAAACAGCAACCATTTAGTAACTGTTTTTAACAGAAACTGTTTTTTTAAAGGAAAAAAACAGTCATAAACCTTTTTGCTTCTTTTAAACACATAAGCCTATTAAGTGTCATAATAATTTTTATTTTTTTTGGGGTAAATAACCGTTTTTGTTTCTTTTATAAAAGGCAAGTATGATAAAACCTAAACCCTATGTCCTCCATCTTTCTTGGCTGGGATTCGGTGTAACTCAAGATGAGAATGGTGGCTAGGGTTGCTGAGGGGGTTGACGGTTGGCGGTAGAGAATATAGGGCCTCATTGTGTGGGTTGGGAAGGGGCAAGAGAAGGAGGGAGAGTTTTATTTTATTTTATGTTATTTTATTATCATTTTACTTTATTTGTTTGTTTTAAATATTTTAAAAGAATTCAAAACAAAGAGTTAAGTGACTTGTTAAATTTTAAAATAGGTGGTGATGATACACATTGGGTTAAAGTGGTGAGCAAAATTGCTCCCACTTTAATGCAAGGTGTATCATCACCACCCTTCTCAACACTTGACACGTGTCCATGAGCATAATCATAGTTCCACAAATACAAAACAAATAGTTAACTATGGTTAGGCTCATAAACACATGTCAAGTGTTAAGAATGGTGTACGTCTTGGGTTAAAGTGGTGAACAAAAATATTTCCTTATTAGATGTTGTCACTTCTTTTTTCGGTAAATAATTATTTTTGCTACTTACATAATAAAGCAATGTATAGCATTCCTTAACATAGGAAGGAAAAAATTGCTAAAATATAAATATGGTTGAATACTTTAGGTTAATTGTATTATTCTCTATAAAGAGGTATATATAGGAGTTTACAAGGTAATAGATATAGTAATTAATTAGGAGAATATCTCCTAATTATACAAGAATTGTGAACTATATGAAAACAAGGAAGTAAATCACTTAATTAACTTAGGAAATAGATCTCCTTGATTTGTTAGGTTAACTCACATCAACAAAAATTGTTTGATAAATTGCATCAAGGAAGCAATGCTTAAGGTGAGGGGAAAAAGAAAAGGATCAACTAATGTAGTGGTTTGGAATAATTACTCTTTCAGACAAAGTTTTGGGTTCGAGTCCTAGCATCTGTGTAGTGTGTGTGAGTTTAGTATACTATCGCCCCTCTCAATAAGAAATGTCCTAAAAAAAGGATAAGAGGAAGAAATTCGTAAGCAATTAAAGTTAATCAAAATATAAATAAGATGTTGGATTTTATCAAGAAAATATAGTTTTATACAAACACAACCATAGAAATTAGTATTGGTCATTTTGTGTGTGGCCAAAGTAAGGAAATGAGGGGTTGTTTGGCATAGCGGACTGTCATGGACTATACTAAATCATGGGACTGCCTCGGATTAGCTCGGATTGGCCTAAGCTGGATTAAGTACTAACCTACATTTGGTGCTGCGTCGGATTAAGAAGCTAGATTGTAAAAATAGTAAAGACCAATGTTTGGTGCTGTGTTGGACTAAAAAATAATTTTTATAATATTTAAATTTAATTGAGATTTTTGACCTAAAAAATAAATAAATGATACAAAGAAACCCCCAATTCAAAGATTTACAACAATATCGGGCAAAAATATTTGGTCAATAATAAAACCTCCCCTACTCAATTGTTATTATAAGACTCCCGTCACAATTAAATACAAACTAATTCTGACATATTTCACCGCTTGAATTGAGTTGAGTGAATTACATAAATATTTGTGTTTTTTATGTGATAGAATGTCATACAATTTTACTATTCTGGTTGCATAAATTGATTCGCAAAGCTATAAATCGACCCCATAATTCTTCCTATTTTGTTTTTTTTGTTTTATTGTTCTCTTTTCTTATTTTTATGTTCGTTCATTTTCCTTCTGAAATCTCTTCACGACTCTAGACCGTATTTTTTGTTCACCAAGAAATATTTCTTTGTTTACATATTTATCGTGAGGACTATATTTTTTATAAGTAAATGAAGTCAAGAGTGAGTCATGCACAAGTATGTGAAACATGAGATTTGTTAGACATACAATGGCTCTGTGGATAATTCAATATCCCTAATATTTTGGGTTTCGGTTGACTTCTCAACAATCCCGCTCAAGTTGAAGAGTGAATGTCAAAAAACTCCCAACTTTCACACCATAACCACAAAATCTTATTTCCCCAAGCATGAGCGAAACTAGGTTAATGGCTACAGCGGGTTGTATCTTAGGGAGGTCTTTTGGGATAAAAAGAAAATTCAAACATATATATCTGACTTGTTTTAAATATAATCAAGTATGTATTAAGCTATTAAAGTCCAAAAAAGTCTAATTCTTTATGAAAATACACATTAAAATATGTACACTTTCAATTATGTTGTTCAACATATTTTTATTTTGATAATATGTGTTTTCGGTATAAGCGATTGGGAAAGGAGAGAGTTTACACAAATATTTATTGGGTGGAAGGCAGTTAGTTATGCTGCAACTTATCCTGAAGGCCACAGATCAAGCTGAATGGATCGGTCCATGAGGACCAACCAACCCATGTGCTCCCAGAATGAGATCAGTTAATATATCCAAGTGAATTTTTTTTTTTGGGATCAAGAATTAATATATCCATGTCTAACGAAGGAACAGTTGGACCTTTTTTTTTTTATCTTCCATTTTTGGGTCATTATTGTTTTTCTCACTAAAAGAAACCTGTCATGACCTTTAATCCATTTGTGTCTTCATGCTTCTCTGTGTTCAGATGTCAAGCAGTCAATCCCATTTGATTGGCGCCGCTAATAGAAACCAGAATTTGTTTCCAAAAACAAAACCAACTCAGGCACCAGCCCAAAACAACAGCAGCTCCAGCAAACGGATAGAAACCGTACAACTTCTATAGGTTAAGAGTCAGCTTATATATTCTCTTCTTCTCTCTCTCTCTCTCTCTCTCTCTCTCCCTCCCTCATCGCTTATTCACTCCTTCTCTCTCTCTCTCTTTCTCTCTCTCTCTCTCCATCCAACTATCAAAATGGCTGACCGAAGAGTAGAAGACAATGCTGTCTCCGGCCAACTCCAGAACGACCATCGTATTGCAGACTTTGATCCCTCACAGAAACCCAAGACAAACAAGTTCGCTATAGCCTGCGCCATTTTGGCTTGCACGACTTCCATCTTATTGGGTTATGGTAATTATCCTTTACACCCTCAGTTCTTCAAAATTCATGAGCCAAATAAAATTTATTTTTTCTTTCCTAATTGTTGTTAGCCCCAGAAAATAGTCAGCATGAAGTTGGCGCTTGTTTTATTATTTTTATTATTTTTAATCACAATCCTTGAGGGAAATGTGCATGAATTGTACTGGAGTGTGGTTTAATTATATTAATTTTGTGTACACAGATATTGGTGTAATGAGTGGGGCGAATATCTTCATCCAAAATGACCTCAAATTAAGCGACACCGAAACCGCAGTCCTTGCGGGCACTCTAAATATCTACTCCCTCATTGGCTCCGCCTTGGCCGGCCGAACCTCTGATTGGATCGGCCGCCGGTACACCGTTGTCCTCTCTGGAGTCATCTTCTTTGTCGGAGCTCTCCTCATGGGTCTCGCTCCCGGCTACGCCTTCCTCATGTTTGGCCGATTCGTCGCTGGAATCGGCGTTGGCTACGGTCTCATGATCGCCCCAGTCTACACCGTCGAGATCTCTCCGACGTTGTCTCGTGGCTTCCTCACATCTTTCCCAGAGGTTTGTTTTGTTTCATTATTTGTCTCTTTACTTTATATTTTTTTTCTTTTTTGGTAATTAGATTCCACAAGTACCTCATGCTTTATATTTTGCTTCAATTTTTATACAAGTAATATTGATGAGGGTATATGAACTACAAAGAATTATGTATATTTTGTTTCAGATTAATCAAACCCAAAAACAAAATTAATTAAGAAAAAAGAGTTGTGATTAATTGTGTATGTATATTTGTTTTCGGACAGTAGCTGTGGAATTTTTACTAATTGATTAATTTGTTTATTTGAAAAAAATATATATATATATATATGTGTGTGTGTGTCTAGGTGTTTGTCAATCTTGGCATATTATTGGGGTACGTATCCAATTATGCCTTCTCCAAGCTTCCAACCAACTTGGGCTGGAGGTACATGCTCGGCGTCGGTGCACTTCCAGCGGTGGTTCTTGCCGTCGGCGTTTTAGCCATGCCTGAGTCACCTCGTTGGCTCGTCATGCAGGGACGACTCGGGGATGCCAAGCGAGTTCTCGACAAAACCTCAACTTCCAAAGAAGAGGCTCAACTCAGGCTAGACGACATCAAAGAAGCTGCAGGCATCCCCATGCACTTAAACGACGACGTTGTTCCGG